TAAATAATGCATTGTTTGGCCAAATCTAACATTTGGAAACTAATAATGACTGAAATGAAAAGCATGTGTTTAATTAATTGCAATTTAATGATTAGTTTCTAATTATTTCAGACGTGATTCAAGTGATAACTAGAGATTTGAATTTATGAGATTAATACCAATCAAAATACTTTTTCAATTTAAATTCATAAAATGTTATTTTTCTAATTATTTAATTAAATCTTATTTTGTAATTGACAGAAACTACACATACAATTCTGTATTAACTATAATTTGTTTCTTTATTAAGACATCAATATTTAAACAAATGTAAATTTATTATCAACATTATCAAACACTTGAAAATGTTTTTCAAACAGGATTAAATAATTCTTAGGAACTATAGTAAGTCTGTACAGTAGTATATAATATAAATCAATTTATGGTCATTTTATGTAAAATAGTAATAATTATTGTAATAGCGATTAGTATATTATTAACAGAATGTCAATATACACGGTGTGCACAGTATTACACAAATATTAAGAAAAATGTTTTTGAAGTAATTTTATATTAATTCAAAATATTATTTTATGATTCGGGTCTCAATTAATACAAAATTACTAATTTATTTTTACTTATAGATCATACGAAGTAATGATTCCGTATGTCTTATATATTCAATTCTCCAGTTATTATGTAACTTATTATTACGTCTGCATAACAACTACAGTATATATTTTTAATTTTCATTACTTTCATCAAGGACTATAAAGTTTTAACTTTGGTAACATTAAAACAACTTCAAAATCAATTAATTAATTTAACAAATTATTAAAACATGGTGTTATCGTTAACTCTAGTAATTCACAATTATTGTAAATCTTATGTTCCCACAAAAGATTCGCAATAAATGTGAGTTTACTAAACATATTATTTCCTATAAAACTACTGTATATCCAATTTATGTTTTAACAAATGTAACCATGTGTTCACACTATGTTAATTTTGCAAAAATTAACATGTATTATTATTTTATTTAAATTAAAAGTTGTTTATTTTCAATTTTATTAATTAATAATTTTTGTTTAAACTATACATTAAAGTAATATAATTCCCTAAATTACCCAGAATGTGAATTTGAAACAAGGGTCACACAGCGATGCTATACGTTAACCACAATTAGGGTGATGCTCAACGAATACATTAGTATTATCCATAGATTTAATATGAGTCCTAATAATGAGCAGACTTAGTATTACCCAACTTGTAATCCCATGTTATTTCCCATAGGGTGGGGGAGGGGACCGAACTATCCTATTATATAATATAAACCACATTATTCATATCTGAATTGTGGTTAAAAATGATATTTTGGAACATTTTTGTGCCGGGTTGCATCAGTTTTTCCAAACATTACCACAAAAATAATATTCATTAATAATAAATAATAATAGATTTTATTCATTCACTAAAATTAAAATAAATGACACGATGTTTAAGCATTCAGTATTTTGTTACAACGTTTAATTTATAATTAAGAAATTAAGTTTCTAATAATAAGTTAAAGGAATTTATTACAAAAATAAAATATTTGATTATAAATGTATAGAAATAAGATAATTTTAATGCAACATTAATTTTGTCAAATTAAACTCATACCTCGATATATGTGTTGTACAGTATAAGACTAATTTGCCACAAAATATAAGCCACTGCTTTTCGTTTCACTAATCATTTCCCTATAGGCTATACCGATGGGTTGACTGCACTTTCAATATATAAAATTCTTACACAATAACAAGTTATTAACAACAATTTAGAAAATACTACCATTTTCTATATGATATATTTTAATCTCTAATTGCTTCTTAGGAATTGTTGTTAACTTGATCGCATTACAGACAAACTTTGTTATAACTTTGTAATATCTTATATGATTACAATCACTCATTTATATCAAACGTTTATTAAAATATTGATACAAATGAATTGCATTGACGTAATTAACATGAATTTAAAACAATTCATATACAGTATTATTAAATCTAATGTTAAACTAAAAAATTATATATTTATTCCAAAACTTAATAATTGAATGCTATATTGAAAATATCCTTATAATGGCTGACAAAGTGAACGGTCAGGCCTTCAGTTATAAATTGTGGTAAATCTGAAAAGTCTTTTTTGTTCTCTTCGGGTAAAGCAATGCAATTGACGCCAACTCTTTTGGCCGCAATTATCTTCTCTTTAATGCCTCCAACGGGTAGTATTTTACCGGTCAGTGAGAGCTCTCCCGTCATAGCAAAGTTTTGTCTGACGGGTTGGTTGAGGGCTAGAGACATGAGAGCGGTAACCATTGTACAGCCAGCACTCGGCCCGTCCTTAGGTGTGGCCCCTTCTGGCACATGAAGATGAATGTCTGTGTTGTGGAGGAAGTGATTATTTGCGTCCAAATCCAAAAGGAAAGACTTGGCAAAAGAGTGTGCAATTTTGGCGCTTTCTTTCATAACATCTCCCAAATGACCGGTCAGTTGGAGAGCGCCCTCACCATCGGTCACATCAGTCCCCGATTTCTTGGGATTAAATCGTTTCAATTTAGCTGTTTCTATGAAGAGTGTTGAGCCGCCCATTGCAGTCCACGCCAACCCCATCACTACACCGGATGGCGTTTCGGTGTACATACGGTCCTGACTGAACACTGGCTTTCCAACAAACTCTTGTAGATTCGAGTCATCGATAGATACTTTTTGTGCTAATCCGTTCACGATTTGTAAAGCGCTTTTCCTCATTATCTAAGTGTATAATCAATATATGCTTAAAATACACTTACAATACACTTATGTATAACTATTAAAATAAATTACTTTTTCGATGTGTTTTTGAAGACTTCTAACACCACTTTCACGACAATAGGATTTAATGATAGTTTGCAAAGCGCTTTGCGAGATGAAGGCCCTGTCGTTGTCGAGTCCGGTTAGGGTATGGGCTTGAGGTATAAGATATCGCTATCGATATAAAAATAATATATAATTAAATTGCATAAACACTGAGGCGTCTAAATAACGGACCTCTGAAATGGCAATTTTCTCTTCGGCCACATAACCAGAAACTTCAATCATTTCCATTCGGTCTCTGAGAGGCTCAGGGATGGTATCCAATACATTGGCCGTACATATGAACAATATTTTGGACAAATCTATGTTGACATCCAAATAATGGTCTAAAAAGTTGGCATTTTGTTCGGGATCTAGAAGTTCCAGGAGTGCAGCGGAGGGGTCCCCCTGATAACCCCTTCCTATTTTGTCCACTTCGTCAATAAGTACCAAAGGGTTTTCACTCTTGGTTTTCTTAAGACACTGTATTATTTTGCCGGGCATTGCGCCCACATATGTCCTCCGGTGGCCTTTGATTTCTGCAATGTCTGTCATTCCTCCGACACTAAACCTAAAGTACTTTAATTGAAATAATGTTTCAATTAATGTATATTTTCATTGATTAATTTGTATTGAAGTGAGAGGACATACTTCTCTATTTAGAGCCTTTGCGATAGACTTAGCGATACTTGTTTTGCCGACACCTGGAGGGCCGTGGAAGCAAAGAATCTTTCCCTGAGTCGAGCCCTTCAGTTGACTGACAGCAATGAACTCAAGAATACGTTTCTTCACGTCTTCCATCCCGTAGTGGTCGTCGTCCAGGATTTGAGACGCTTTACTGATCTCCAAATTCTCTTCACTGGTCAGACCCCATGGCATGGATGTCAACCAATCCAAGTAATTACGGGTTACACTGAATTCGGACGAATGGTTGTCCAAAAATGATAACTTATTTAACTCTTCGTCAATCACTTCCATGACGTGTGTGGGAACCGTTAGATCTTTAATCTTAAGTCTGAACTTCTCTTCGATGGCGTCTTTGTCGTCCTTCTCGAGTCCCAACTCTTTCTTAATGGCCTTCAGCTGTTCAAAGAGCATATACTTGCGGTGCTGTTGCTTAACCTTCTCCTCCACTTCTTTGCCAATCTTTTGCTGCAATTTACTCAACTCGTACTCCTTTTTCAACAAATTCAACGACAAATACAGGCGTTTAGAGACATTTGTTTCGTTGAGAATATCCTGGAGTTCGTTGGGTTCGGCGGCCGTTAAGGAGGCGCCCAAATCGGACAGGAAGTTGGGATTATCGATGACTCGCTGACCCGTTTGGATCATCTGTAAGATTGACTCCCGATAGAGAGGATTCATTGATATGATGTCACGTATTGTTTTGACAATCTCTTGCGTAAGTGCTTTGATCTCTTCATTCATGACCACCGGTTCGTCCTTTAAGTTCTCCACTTCGACCATAAGAACCGGTTCTTTGCCCACAATTATGTCATTTACTGGCAATTCTTTCTCCGCGTTATTCCCATTAGACGAGCGTTTTTTGCGGATTGACTTTCGGCTCAATTTATTGCCACTACTTTTTGTCACTACTTTTCTATCGCTTTCATCGATAATTTGTTTAACAATTCTGATCCTTCGGTGAGACATAAGAATAAGTCTTAGTTTTGTCCCCAAGTCCTGCATCTCATGGATCTGAGCGAAAGTGCCCACAGAATGGAGTTCTTCTAAACTGTTGACGACATCCGACTCTTTGGTCGAGTCTTTGGTCATAAAAATGCCGACAAACGGGTGATTGAGTTTCACAACACGTCTAATATTATCCATAAGTGTTTGGTTTGAAATCTCAATGATTTTTATAAATCGGGGAAAAACGGGATTCCTATGGATGGCAATGACCGGCACTTCGGGCCATACCTCGGGAACTGTTACGGCAGCCAATGAAGAACTTCTCTGATTATCTTCAATAAATCGCTCCAATTCCTCGTCTTCAGCCGACTGTTGCGGTTTGTCATCGGAATTGTTATCAGATTTATGTCTTATTTGATTGAATCCAGTGTTAAATGTGTTGTTGTTTTGCAAAACACATGCATTACTGGGCGTTAAACGATGTCCTCCTCTGTCAGCATATCGGAGACAATACGAAGACATGGATCGGACAGTCGTTGAGTGCAAACACAGGTATGTATTGGAGTGGAGAAGTCGTGCCGAAGATATCCATCGATTCAAATGAACCACTTTTGAAGCCATCGTTACTTCAATTGAAGCCAAAAACCATTGAAAACAATTTGAATTGAGTTTTGTATCACATGTTATGCAGACATACAGTCATGCAATGCATGCCTTCTATTGCATACAAACCTTTCAATACACCATAAAAGTACCCAAAATGTACAGTAAATGCCCTTTTGTTGTGTCACTCGACAGCACTTTTACTGTACATAGTGTGACCAGCTTGTTATTTTTAATGTTATTACAATTTTTATTTGATCATGTAGAATTTCGTGCAATGATCATGCATTGAATTTATTTTATAAAGATAATAAATTAGAGTCATAGAGATATAATAGATTAAATAAATTTACGATA